CGTATGTGAGGCCCGGGGCGTACACCATGCCGGCGCGCGCCTGCTGGCGGAGGCCCATGTTGACCTGTGTTGCGGGTCGGTTTGAGGCGGTTGGAAGCGGTTGGCCAGCTGGAGATGAGCAGGTGGTGTGCCTGGGCAGTTGGGTCGCTAGGCAAGGTCATCAACAACTTGTGGGAAGAGGCAGCAGGGCTGTTGCGGCGCCCTGGTCGAGGGGCACCCATGGGGCGACTTCCGCTGCGACTCAGCCGCCTGCTGCCTCTCAGCTGCCGCGCTGCACACCACCTCATACCCATGCGCATATCTCACGCAACTGCCAAAGCCTGATCCCAGCACAACCTGCCCATACCCATCCCCTGCATGCAATCACATATTTGATCTCCTCCTTGCCACTGAAACAAACAAAAATCTTCAACGGACACATATGACCACCACGGCCTCCGCAAGTCCTCCCAAACAGAGAGCCCACCGCACCTTGCGCAGCTGCTCGTTCAGCCGCTCCAACTCTGCCTTGCGCTGCCGCGCCGCGACACCGCCCACCAGCGCCCCCGCGAGTGCTATGAACTCCGTGATGCCGACAATGTCGATGCCAAACGGCGTGGCGCACAGCTTGCCAATCTGTGGGGCGATGTTTGTGCGGCGGGCGGGTCTGTGGGGCCGGCGGTGAGAGGCGCCAATCAAAGAGAGCGAGGCCTCCGCGGCTGGTATTGTGCTGCGCCAGTGTGCCCGATGTCTGCGGTGCCTGGCATGCTCAGCGCCGGCTTGAAGGAGCGCAGGTGCGGCGCCCGTTCGCACACGGATGACCGAAGCCAGCGGCAGCCCTGGACGGGCGAGCCGCGGCGTGGCACGCGGACCCAGCGCCTGTCCCTGCGAACGGCGTAGGGCTCACCGAGGTGGTGCGGGCCTCCGCCTCAAACGCCTCGCGCTCTGCCTCAAGCTCCCGTCGAACTTTGCCCTCCAGGTCGCGCCGGAGCTGCAGCAGCTGCGCCTCCTCCTCAGCGAGCAGCCCCCGCGCGCCGGTCGACATCAGGTACCCCTGCCGCAGCGGCGCCTCGGCCGCGGGCGCGACGGCGTCGGCGTTGGCGCGCGCGGACGGCGCAGCGGCGGCGAGCGCAGCGGCGGTGGCGAGGCCGAGCAGCGCGCGGCGCGAGGGTGCCGCATGTGCGATGCTTGTGCCGCTGCTGCTGCAGCACTCTGTATCAATATCCTGCCGTTGCACCGCATGAGGGACCAGTGAGCGCCTGGCTCGGCCGATCACAGTAGTGCCATTGGTTCGAGAGCTCGGGCTCGCCCTGGGAAGGGCCCGCTGCCTGACTAGCGACATGATGACGAGGACGGACGTGAAATTTCAGCAGTCCGACGCCAATGTGCAAATCAAGGCGAGCTCAGACTACAATGATGAGAGCTCCGTCGGGCGTGTGCAGAGCGCACGCTCCGTACACTGGGCTACTAGTTCAAATATGAATCCACTCAGCATGTGTTGCTTCCTGCGCAGCAGTCGATGATCTCGTGAGTTGCCACCGCACACGAGGTCCTCACGGAAGTTTGCCCGAAACAATCCACTATGTTGTGCTTTTCACTCGCGTTCGGTTTCGTACGCCTAAGCTGGAAACAACAGCGTCCGCATAGCAGAGTACCATACCTGCAGATCCTTGCCGCCACAGTCAACGGCCCGGTGCCGGCGTTGACCAGTCACTGGCGACGTCCGGCTCTGCGACACAGCGTGAAGGGTCAACCATCCACTTCTGTGACTGTTTTAGCGCATTATATTGTAGCGTCCCCATATTCAATTGTTGTGACCCACAGCCCATTCTCGATTGGTGCGCTTCTGGCCATCGACGTCCCACCTATTTGCAGCGACTCAGCCTCAACACCAGGACCCTGTACATGCACACGCAGCAACTCACGGTCAAGAGGCATACGCTAGCTCAGGCGAAACCCAAGCAGCCCTATTCGCCGCCAGCTGGCTGACAGCACATGGCGGCAGCGCTGGGCAGGGATCAAGCCACTGCATGCGCATCCCTCGCTGGGCTGTTGTTACCCAGCTGTGGATGCCAAGCAACTTTGTCTTATACCAGGCCCAACTAGTAGGCGCTCTTTCATTTTGTGCCAGCGGGTTACTTGCGCCCACTTGCGATCCCAGACGGATGGAGAAGACGGGGAACAGCAGGCGGCAGTGCGGAGGGCGTCAGCAGCTTTTGAGGTGGATGGTGAATGTGTGATGCTGGCGCTCTCTGCAGCTCGCGAACAAAAAAATCTGCCAGTGTTTCACGCATATAGCCCTCTCCACGCATATCTAGCTGTTGCACTGAGGCCATCCGAATACGTGACGAGCAATCCTGGTGGTTACAGTGAATTTTCATGATGGTTTGTGGCCTCATGGTGAGTGTGCAGTGCTTGCTCAGGATGTTGGGGTCCCAAAACCCACAGCACATACATGCATGAGGACTCGGGCACACCAGCAGCGGCAACGCCAGCCCGCAGCGCCCAAGACACCAGGGGCATGGCTGTGATGATAGATGGAAGACCTTACAGCTGCGCTGCTGGTGTGATGCAGCGGCATACAGGATGGGCCCGCACCCTTGGGCCCAGCTTGGGGGGCACGGGTGGCGGATAGGGGTCACCATTCGCAAAAACGCGCGTAGCCTCCCACATGCAGCCACAAGAATGTGGGCTATGCGCTTGACCCCCGCAGCCTTTCGGTCAAACATGCGCTTTTTGAGTGCGGTAATTGTATAAACCGGGCCCTGCTCGTGGAAATCACCATTGGTGGGAGTCTCTGACCAGGCGGTCGACGTAAGCGCCTCCGTGGTTGACAACATCACATGCATAGAATCCAGAATTCACCGCATACGACAAGTACAGAGGAGGCGATCACGGCATACCTCTAAAACACGAACAGGCCGCGGAGAATCGAGCGTACAGCGTGTCAGGAGTAGTTATCAGAGTACCAAAGAATATCTCCAGCTTTGCCACCGCGCGCAACAGCATATGCGGGCGGGTGCGGCGCGCCCGCGCCCGACATGGGAAGCCGAGCGCCTGGCACGTCCGACGCTCCGCAGCGTTGCGCGGTCCCGGTCCCGTGCCGTGCGGCCGCAGGCGGGCCGTGTGCAGCTGACAGACCTGGGTCGACCAGTGGCAGGGGATTACGAGGATGCGATCAAGGAGGAGAGCCGCAGATACCGGCGAACGGTGAGACGGGCCGCACCGCACCGCGGCGCCGCGTGCACATGCCACCCAAGTTATTGCATGCGCATGCCCGCATGCCCCAGCATGCGACTGCTCGACGCGTGCGACCGCCCATCCGTCGTGTGCGACCGCCCATCCGTCGCGTGCGACCACCCATCGGCTGCATGCGTGCAGGTCTTTGACATTCAGGCGTGGGAAGGCCACAGGAGCACCACGCGCTATGGCCGCCACCTCGTCGGCATTTTAACGTGCGTATGCAGGGGAGGGGGGGCCAGAGGCTGGGGCAAAATCTTTGAGTTAGAATGGGGTGGTGCTCGCAGCGATCTGCCCGGCATGCGCAGCCTTGCGCAATGAGTCGGTGAACTGACTGCATCTCGCGCAAAACATCAATCACATCGCAGCTCCCGTGTGGTGTGGGGCCTGGCGCGGCCGCTGCTGTATGTAGCGGCCGTAGCGGCAGCGGTGGTGGCGTATGAGTCACTGCGGCAGGTGGGCGGGCGCCAGGATTGCTGGCGGGCCGAAGAGCGCCGCAGGGCGGCGGGCCTCCTGGGGCCGGCCTTGGGCGGAGGGCGCAGCAAACCTTGGCCCGGCGCGGTGCAGTCTGGTGGCTCCCAAGTCTGCCTCTCGCAGCGGGCCACCCTGTCGACCCATTCGAAACAGCCCCCCCCCCTGCAAGGGCGCGTTTGGCTGAGCCTGCTGGGACTTCCTCCACCCAAAATCCTGCGCCCGGGCCCGTCGGCTCACCTTATCCTCGACTGCCCCTTAAATTCGCCGCCCTTTGCCAACTGCGTGCCTGTGAACAGGCTGGCCTCCTCCCGGCCGCGCTGCCAAGCGTGCAGCTGACAAGCAAGGAGCCGTTTGGGCTGACCAGCTTTGCGCTCTCTCTGCTGCTGGTCTTCCGCACCAACTCAAGGTGTGTTGTGGGAAGGAGGGAGGGTAGTTTTCTGTGTGTCTGCGGGGAGGGGGGAGGTGGCATGGATGGTCAAGCCCAAAGATGCAAGGGCAAAGCTTTGATCTGAGCTGCGACACCCAGCTTTGCGGCGGTCTTGTTGTACATTGGAAGGCAAGACACATGCATTGACGGCTGTATTATGTGGCAGGAGCATGGGTAAAACTCCCATTCGGCATCGCCCCCCCTTGCCCGCACCCCCTGTAACCCCCCCCCCTGCAGCTATGGCCGGTGGGACGAGGCGCGCAAGATGTGGGGCCTCGTCCTCAACAGGTCACGCGACATCGTGCGCCAGGTCAGCGCCCGCTTCATAGCCGGCCTTCAAGCGCCACGCTCACACTTTTCCTCCAATGGCCAAGCTTTCGGCAGAGGGTCGCGCTCTCACCTGCATCCACAGCCACAGGCCAGATCAATCTTGCGCTGAACCCCGCTTTCTGTGGCGTTCCCGTCCTTGGGCCCCACCCTTGACCGCGGCCGTGCTCCCAGGGCCTGTCGTACATCTCGCCCGACTGCTGGCAGCTGCGCGACATGCTGTGCCGCTGGACGCCCGCCTTCAGCCGCGCGCTGATGTGTCACTTGCGCAAGGGCAACGACCTGCGGCAGGAGCTCCAGGTCGGGTGCTGTCAACCGGGTGATGACGGGGTAATTGACTGCAAAGCAAGTCGATGGCCAGGAGCGAAGCTTGCGACTGTGACCAAGGCTTTGGTTTCCAGTCCTGCTTTTGTCCTGTCACCTGCCTAATATGCGGAGTCATCTGCGGGCCCGCGCCGGACGCGATGACGCCGCGTCACTTCCACTCAAAATATCGCCAACCACGCCTGCTGCCCCGCCCTCAGGACATCCTGCTGCCCCACGAGCTGGACTCCCTGCTGAAGGCCACGCACCGGCCTAACTACGTCCTGCAGGTGCGGCACAGTGAAACGAACGCCTGGGGCCCCGCGACGTGACCCCGCAAAACACTGGCTGCTTAGGAACATCCCATCAACCCCAACAGCCCCTGCGCCGGCGCTGCCCATCGCTGTTTCGACACAGCGCCGCACACTGTAACCGACCCTCGAACCCCCCGCCCCCGAAAACCTGCTCACCAGGTGCTGTCCCAGATCATATCGTCCGCCAACCTGTCCGTGGCGGCCACGATCCGGATGGACCAGAACCTCACCTCCTTCGCAGACTGCCTGGGCGGCTGCGAGCGCATCCTGCGCACCCCCATCCCGCTGAGCTACACCAGGTGGGGCCCAGGAAACAATCCCAGCCCCGGAGTCCGAGGCCGCCAGCAGCCGGCGACCGCGGCGGCCCGCGGCCGGGGACGCCCCGCGCGCCGTCTGCTGCGGCCGAAGCACGTCGTGGCGGGCGCTGCCGGGGGTGTTCTGAGCAGCGTTGTCGTCGCTCGCTTTTGCCTGTGCCGGCCGCATCCTCGTGCTCACTCCTGCGGCGCCTGCTCTGTGAGGATGAACACCACCACACCGATTGCGTCCCCCGCATTTCTGTCCCCCAGCCATTTCAATTCGCAACGCCACGGCCGATCTGCAACGCATCGCGCGCCCCTCCGCCGCCTCGACCCCACCTGTCGCGTCTCGAAGGCACACGAGCCGCTTCCTGATGATCTGGCTGACGCTGCTGCCCTTCTCGCTCTTCGGGTCGTGCGGGCTGTCCACCATCCCGCTGAGCGTCGCCATCGCCTTCCTGCTGCTGGGTGAGCAAACACGCGCCCGCAGCTGCAGTTTCGTGCCCCAGGGTGCAGGCTTGGCGGGCTGGGCTTTTGACCAAATGCACTACTGGCCGCATGGCACATGATGGCTGCCCTGTGTAGTCAACAATTGTCCATGCCTGCCGGCTCATACGGCATACTGACACACCCCACTTTCCTTCACCGCCCCGGCCCACCTCCCCTCAGGCATTGAGGAAATTGGTGTCAGCATTGAGGGTGAGCAATCATAACATGCGGGCATTTTGCGATCGCAGAACGACCCACCTCCGGGCCCAACTCCTTGGTCTGTTCCTCCCCTGCAGTGCTGGCGGTGAAACCCCTAATATCTTCTGACCTGATCCCATCCTGCCCCTTCTCGCCCCTGCTGCCAACCCTTGAGCAGAGCCCTTCTCTATTCTGGCACTTGAAGTCATCTGTGACAGCGTCCTGTCGAACGTCAGGGAAATCCAGTCCACCCACGCCGCCAATGGCAACGGCGGCAGCAGCACTGGCGTCAGCGGCAACGGCAACGGCAGCGGCGCGCCGCCAGCACAGCAGCGGCGGGAGCAGCTGTCGGCGGCGCAGCTGGTGGGCTTGGCGCGGTCTGGGCCACAGGGGCAGAAGGAGTGGCCGCCGGTTCAGGCGGTGAACAGGTACCCTGTGCCGCAAGCAGCGGGCGTCTAAAACGCATTTGCTGGTCCAATTGTTGGGCGACTTGATGCTTCAAAGGTCTTGCCATCGATAATGGCTGCAGTGATGCCCAGGCTTGCGCAGCAAGTGCAGCGGCAACACCTCGTATCTGTGGCAAGGAAACATCATCTTACCTGTTCTTGTATTGCGTTAGGGGTCCTCATGTTTGTTTCGACGGTGCCGTGTCGACTAAAGAAGAGTTCTGCGTGTTGTGCTGTGGTTGACTACACACCTTGGCGTGCAAACGGCCCGCCAACAAAAGCGGGACGTTGCAACCCTCACATAACTACGCGGTGTGGCGCACACGTCCTGGCGGTGCACAATTGCATGCACACGTGGCAATGCGTTGCGAGCAGCGCGATGGCGCTCTGCGGCGTGTCTTCCCCTTCTGGTGCCCTCCTCCCACTCCCGGGGGCACCAAGAGTTGCATGCACACGTCGTAATGCTTTGCTGGCAGCGCGATAGAGCGTTGTGGCGTGTGCCCCCCCCCCCCCTCGGATGCCCTCCCCTGCTCCTGGGGCACCTGAGGTGTCATGCACACATGGCAATGCTTTACGAGCAGTGCGATGGCGCACTGCGGCGTGTTCCCCCCTCTGGTGCCCTCCCCCCGCTCCTGGGGGCACCTACAGTTACGTACACACGTGGCAATGCTTTACCAGCAGCGCGATGGAGCGCTGTGGCGTGTTCCCCCCTCGAGTGCCCTCTCCCCGCCCGTGGGGGAACCTCAATTTCTTGAGAGCCCTCGAGTTTGTCGATGCTTGTTTGGAAGATGCGCCATGTCTGCGTGACTGTTGCGAGGGTGCCGCTCCATTCACACCCACGCCTGACTGAACATCTTGTTTGCAATGTGGCTTGCTGCACTTACCAGGGTTCTCTGTACACGTTTCGCATGTACACGGGCCCCCTGCATGCCACGCAAGTGAAAGTTGCCGGTATCCCACACCCAACTCTGCGCCTCCTGAGCCATTTGCCCCACCTTTGGAAGGCTGCCTGTGACAGCATTGCCAAGGCATGCCATGTGGACCCCCTCATCAAAGCACTCCGTCATTTTATTAGTCTGGCCCCTCTCTGCTTTACGCAGAGGGGTGAGGTGGTGCACAGTCGCAGAGGGGTGAGATGGTGCTTGTGTTGCATGAGGAGAGGAGCATCGCAGGACCTGCCGCACCGAAGTAGCCGTCTTCTGCCCCCGCAAGTGGCCACCTTTGGCCCGTTCGCTCACTGCTGTAAAATAGTGTGCTGTTTGTGGCGTTGCTGCCTCCACATGGCTGATGCACTCAACAGACGTAATTCCGCCCGACCTGTCCGCTCTCTACCATCCGGCACACCACCGCAGCCCATTTACAGTACTGTCGTGGCAGCAATTGAGTGCATGCGCCTTGCGCGATCAATTATGTTGGAGCCAGTCGTACCGCATGATGTGTGGCAGAGTTGGCATTGGCTTTCGTGCTCACCCTCTTCATCCTTTGTTGACACGCAGGGGGCAGCGGGACGCAGGACAGAATGAAGCCGTGCATTGGGCAAGCGGTTGCATGCCCTAAAGCCCTGCCCCCCCCTGCAGGTTTGAGATAAAGGCACGAATTGGCTCAACCTCGACATCGCATCTGCCCCAGCGTTATGTTTGCTGTGTGTCCTGTGCAGGCAACCTTGGATGCGAAAAGCCAGGACTCGTCAATCAAATGAAGGCAACCAGATCTCTGCCAAGGAGCTGCAGTGAGCTGGCTGACCCATGCGTCGCGAATACAATGCAGCCAAGCAATGAATGGCGCATCTGGAAGCCAAGGCGAGCAGCTGGTTGGAAGCACCAAACTGCGCCGCCTCCTCCAGTAGGCGGCAAATAGCGCTTTGTTGAGGACGCAAGCGGGCAAAGGGCCGCAGGAGTAATGGTGAGAAAGAAATATTTGCCCGCAGTGCGACAGTAAGGAGGGGCTGCGGGCCGCGTGGCGCTGGGCTGCCGCCCGGGCCCGCCCACCCAGCAGCGGTGGGTGCGGCGGCTGATCAAAGAGGCAGGGTTTGCACCCGGCCGTGCGGCCTCCTGAGTTTCGCAACTTTATAAAGTCGTGCGGCCACCAACGCCCCATCACACAACAGTACTATTTTGGGTGTGCGTATGTTGCCCCCGCTCGGGGCCTGCGCCATGGTGCTGCACAGCTCGACTGGACGCGCACGCCCCAACTGCAGTGCTCTGAACGTGCATGAGGCTGTTTGCATGGATGGACCGAGATCACGCACACGCGCAACAAGGCACTAAAGCCCCCAGTCAGTGCCGCACGTGACGGTGGCCGCCGCCTGGCAGGCTTTGGCGCTCTGGCTGAATAGATTCGCCGAGCCGCATGTGATGTACGTCGACTTTTCCACGTTAGCCGCGCAGTTGACTGCCCCCCAGCAGCCAAACTCGATGTCCGCGGATTTGCCTTTGGGCAGGTTCAGGGCAGCGCTCTTGCACAAGCAGACGGCGCGCTTGCTGTTGCGGGTTGCCGGGCAGCCGCTGGACATCACACACACGTTCTTGCCGCCGGGGTTTGGGGCAGGGGAGGTGCCAGGGGAGTTGGAGGGACCAGGGGAAGTGGAAGGGCCGGGGGAAGTCGAAGGGCCAGGGGAAGTTGATGGGCCAGGGCTGGGGCTTGTGGATGGGGTGCCTGGAGACGTGCTGGGGACTGGGACGCCGCTTGGCAGGATCTTCACATCGATGCTGCGGGATGCGAGCAGGCGCAGTGGGAACCAAGGTGAGGGGGAGGACAGGATGTCGGGGGATAGGTGGACGGGTGGTTGTACAACAAGGCTTGGATTCAAGGCACAGTATGGGTTTCCAGCCATCTTAGCGGAGAAGGGGGACGGGCCGCCACAAGGTCTGAAGCAGCGGGCTCTTGCATGTGCACACCCTCGCATGAGAGGGGAGCAGGAGAGGGGCACCGCGTATGCGAAGGACATCCGTCGGCTGCTGTCGATGCATGAAGTCCGCGTCCATGCACGCCCACTGTCGCACCCAAGTGCCCTCATGCCAGTGCCCAAGCAGCCCCTCTCCGCCAAGAGGCAGGGATATGCGGCAATTTCTTCACCCACATGCCCCCCACTTGGGTTTCCATCGCAACTGTGTTGCAACAAGCACGCCTGCGCCCACCAATTGATGTAATTCTCCGTCGCGGCCTGCCCCGCCGGCGCGATGCGCGGGATGCACTGCTGCCACGACGCGTTGGGGTCGCACGTCTGGTTGTTTGTGCGGCCAGCCCTGTGGCATCGGAGGGGTGTGCAGGCAGGCAGCAGATTGAGGTACAGGTAACCACTGGTGAAGTGATTGAGGAATTCCGCAGGCAAGCAGGTTTTGCAAATGATTCAGGGGTACTTTTGCAAGATTCTGCCATGTGCTATGCACCTGCATAACCCTATACGAAAACCTCATGCAAGAGCGACTGCCAACGCAGATGGCAGCCGCCTGTTTGCCCCCCAAACAACTGACAACTCGGGGCGGCGGGCGGCGCAGGGGCGTCCTGCCTATCATTTGGGGGACTGCACAGACCCAGGCAAGGAACGAGCTGCCCTTCAGCCTTTCTACATTGGCGCGCCCCGCCTCACTTGCCGCAGTCTTGCGGGACGTCCCACGAGGGGTCCTCGCAAGGAAGGGCGCCGCTCTGGTACGCCGCCCAGTTCCACTGGGGTTTTGCAATCAAAATGTACCGTGCGTGGGGTTCACGAAGACAGGGGTTGCAGTGAGGGTGGTCAGGGGCGGGGGACGTGTGGCAAATGCTTGCCGAGAGGTTTGGGGCAGAGGGTGGGTGAACTCGCCACAGCACAAAGTTGGTGGTCAATGGTTGAAGGGGGTGGGCGGCAGTCGCCAACTCAGTGAGTATTTGTGCGGTGGTGGCGATGAGGAGGGCTCAGGGCGCCACACAAATAAAGGGATACGCAGGAGCAAGAGGCCTTGGGGGAAGGGGGCACATGGGGGTGCATGGCATACCTCTGCAACTTGGAAGCGCCCTTGCACACACAGCCAGCCCCGCCCAGCCCCGTCCTGTAGCCCAT